CCCCGCTTGGACCACCTGTCGGAGAATTTTCAGCAAGGTCGTCGGGAAAAATCAATCTCGATCGCCGAAAGTACAATTCAAGCATGCCTTACTAAGGTGTAAAATTTTAGGGATTAAAAATTGTTTAGTGCGAGCAGTGTTACCGTATGTGCGCGGTGTTGTGCGATCATATGGGTTGCAGTGGAGAGCCCAACTCTTCAACGCCAGGGGACTGGTACCTATGTCAGAAGGGAGTACCCCCGACAGGTCGCCGTACCCCCGACAGGTTGCCAACTCCATTGTGGGATGTGCTCGTTTTTCATTGCATTCTAAATGTTTTTAATGAAAAAATAAATGATATGAGTGGCGAATCCAGGAATGTTTGAAAGGAGGCCCAGGGAGACTTTAACTGATAAGGGGTCACCTCAGCTCCATCATCTATGTTTACGGCACTTCTAAATGGCCTGAAATGGCACTAGACAGACTTAAAATTAAAAATTTAGGAGTCCTTTAATTCGCCACTGGATAATGATGCACAGTCGATGTCAGAGACACATTATGCTATTATATATAAACAAAGCAAAGCCCTTTTAGGTCAGGGAGCTGTAGATCGAGGACCAGTGGTTAGGGGCCCTTTCGGGGCCGGGGGCCCCGCGGACCACCGCACGAGAGCACATAGGTGTTACCCACTGTCACTGACCTGTGTGCTTTCTGAGATAAAGCTCCAGTTTAAATGGGACCAAAAATGGCCACGGGACCCCTCCTACTAATACTCCCATCAAATACAGGTTGATTGTGATTGGATAGCCAATATTTTTTTTAATGACATTAAAATTGTTTAATAATTAAATGCAGTGTTTTGAACATCATTCATATCTTTTCAAGGTCAGGTGGCAGTGGTGTATCTACGGGGATGCACAGGAAGCACGCCCCACCAAAAAATACTCGCGCCCCTCGTCTCCCCCGGGTCCCCATGACTCGATGCTACGGCACTGAAACATACACCCTTCTGGAGAGGCATTCATACTTCCCTTGAGAAAATTCTCTCCCAACCAGAGTTCTCACACTACAGTCAGTCCCTCAGAGGCATCAAGAAAGCACTACAACATTCAACACTGGTACTATTCAGGGGGGTGCGTACCTTTGGTCCGACAACACACTGGTCTGAATGGTCTTTGATCCGTATGCACGTTGGTCCAAAGTCCCTAATTTTAGTGACCTGGTTTTCCAGGAATGTATGTTATATACAGTAGGCTTACTTATTGAAACCGTTTATTATGTCCAAGTGTCAGCTAGGCTCTTTGGTCGCCTTTAATTTAGGAACGTTCTTGACCACTGATTGCATTTTTTTTAATCTGCTTCCGTGAGTGAATCTTTAGTTTTATACTTATATATTATGTGATTTATGTTTTATGTGATTGATGCTTTTGTCTTTGACTTTATAAAACACTTTAAATATCTTTGATTTATATATATATATATATATATGACTGTTTTATATGCAGCTTTATTAATTTTATATAATATTATATGCTTGACAAAATCAGGTTTCGCCAAGTCTAGTACCGTACTGGGAAAACCCTTGCTTCGTTGTTTTTGACGTTTAAATGGTGTATATTTTGTTGTATTTTTACATGTTCTGATCCTTAAATGGTCCTGCACGGTTGATTTGGAGCAAAATGAAAATGCTGATGAATATCCAGTGGCCCCTTAAGGTCTGGGGCCCATGACTTTAATCAGTCAGAGCCCCTAGCTATTACACCAATGGCCACAACCATCATTCCTAACCTTGCATAAATGTTTGAATTTGTATTGAATATCAATATTTTAGTTTTACTAATACAGGCCTCCCTCTTAGTAAAGACCTCTCCAATTAAAGACCATTTTTCTGTGGTTCCATATTAGCAAATGGTTTTTATCTTTATTATTCTAATTAGAGACCAAAGCTGCTAAAGACCATGAAAACTCCGGTCCCAAAAGTGGTCTTTAATTGGAGGGAAACCTGCATTCCACAGGCAACATTTCAGGCTACTGATGTAGTTAAAGATGCAGAAGATAAACCAATTGTTAACAGACAAAAACAAATATAACAACTATATCCCTTCCATGTACCATGTGGGTAACTTATTTTATGTCGGTTAAAAATGAAAACAATACTATGTAAAATATTGCAAAATAGACCCTTAATAGTCTAATGTGTGTAATCCTTGCTAATAAAGATATAGATATACAAATACAACTTTAGAGCGAGAAAAATATAGTAACATCCACTTGTTTAATAGACAAGTAAATACCAAAAGGCCTGCCACAATTAAGGGATTGGGTAATGTCTCAGGGTCTAGCATGTTTTTATTGGCTCATAGAGGTAGTTGGGGTCCTAAATAAGTTCTCCCTCCCTAGACCTTGAATTTTCTTTTGATGAAGAGTTAATTATTTGGAAATAAATTGAAAGTAAATGCATTTATTATCATGAAGAAAAATTATTAGGAGCTGCGTAAACCAATTACTAAACAGCACCAACCTCTTCCACATCCACGACAGCACCACCCCCTCTCCTTCATAATCTGAGTGGCATACATTCTAGTTCTTGCAGTTAGAAAAACAAATATAACAAAACAAGACCTTATATTATAAGTAACAAAGCTTTTTCAAAATATGAATTCATGATTAATACAAAACCTACATTCATCTTTCAATGCCTGGTAAAATGAAAACATCCCTAAAATTTCATTAGTACATAAATATGGCGAAGAAGATACATTTTAAGCGTATGGTGACAAGAAATGCAAATTCAGTTCACCTAACAGCATTTTAGCTTTTTTTTAAGTGCGTACTTAATCTTGCAAAGCAGATAGCTAAATTCGCCTGTGTTGTTGGAAAGAGGGGGGAGGGGGGTGGAGATAATTCAGAAAATTTTATATTTTCTCCTAAACATTAGACAATCCAATTATTACCAATTATGCTTTATATGTGCTTATTTTGCTGAGTGCAGTAAAAGACTTTTTGAAATGATAGTATGGGCCACCCAATGGAGCTTTTCGTAGTGTCTGAACCTTAACCAATAACAGGGCCATAAATAAGTGCTTGTCCCATCCCACAAACATAATAAGCAAATATTTACGTTTATAATAATAAGTATAGTATTAATTTAAAATGTGCTGCTAACAATATTATGTTTAAGTTTAGTTCATATGGCCTATGTAAGGCATTCTTTGCAACATCATGCTGTCAGAAACAAAGCAGGCCTGAACACAATTTTATTTTTAAGCGAGATTCACTTAATTGCACTGAACATTGACACCAAACTGGTAATTGATATTTGAAACATACAATGGTCTTCAAAGGTAGAAATAGACACACCTTCAACATACTTTATGTATGTATTATATATTTACATTTATGAATATTATATATTTACAAATGCTTCAGTACTCAGCATATACATATTTGTACATGCATTGCATATGTGATATACACATATATTTATATAAATATTATTTTGAAATAAAACTGAATATTTTCAATTTATATTGTAATGTAATATATATGAACACATTTACATAAATATGTATCAAATCTTTTGAATGCTGGCATATACATATATCAAGATTTTCTACAATTTATATACATTATATAATCATTGATCATCAATTAATTATCCTTAATTAGTTATACTTAATTGCACCATATTTTATATAGTAAATTAACCACTATAAGAATCATCATTCTGAACCATAGCAAATTTCATTCATAAAGCATCATAAAAACAAATCTTTTTTACCCAGAACGTTTCAGAAACATTAAACTTGACCAAAGATTAACATAATTTATTTATTAAATGCGATTAATTAATTAATTGCATAATGTGATTTTTAAAAGACTAACAAAAACAAATTGAATGAAAAAAAAAATTGTGCATAAACTATATCAAAAAAAAAATAAGACAAACTGAAGATTAAAAAGTTAATTTAAGAAATCAAAGTAAAGTAATGCAAAATAAAAAATTTTAATCTATAAAATGAAGTAAAAATGTATTTTTGAACATAACTGATGATAAAACGCACAACCAATTGGCAATTTTAAATATATACTACATATGCCCACAATATCCGGACAAAATTTGCAATTAAATCAAATAAAATTATTTTTTTAGATATGTATTTAATAAGCTTTTGAATGGTATAGCTTATTGGTTTGATTATTACCTTCAACCCACAATGAATAATTGATTTTTCAGTATCTATAAAGCTAAAAAAAAGACATGTCTACCCACACACTGCATGGTCTTATGTGTATTGATAGGCAGTAGAATACCTAATAAATACAAAGGCTTTAAAAACTTAAACAAAATGGTAACATTTTCTAATTAAAATATTTTATAAATTATATCAAAAGGAAGACATACAGTAGAACCCCTATTAAGGGGGCACCTTCGGGACCAAAAAGAGTGTCCCCCTATTAGGGGTGTCCCCTAAATAGGGGTACCCCTATACAGGGGACACTAACCAAAAAACATGAAATTATCCCCTTAATAGGGTTTTTTGGCATGTTTTCATATAACGATGACATACATTTCTTTATAATTTTATTTTTATTTATATAATTAGTTACAGTAGAATTAGAACTAATTTATAGCAATAATTTGCAATGCAAATACAATTCCTTTATAATATGAAATCAGCAGAAATGTAACTAAAACAATAGTTTTATATGTTCCCAAATACTGTTTCATGATGCAATGTTAATGAATGAATTTAGGATCCTATGAAAGTGCAGGAAAAACGAAAAAAATAAATCCCCATGGTTAAGGGTAAAAAATGACAAGATTGGTTTATACGAACTAACGCATGCAGTAGGCGAATACTACTCCAATATTCAGTCCAAAGATTTGCGGAGAAAATTCTGGTTTATTGCTCAAATTTCAAAATTAAATTTCATTTTCAATTAATTTCAATTTCACTTTATTTAAAAAACCTCCAGAACGGAGAAGTAAAGTAGTAGGCCTAGAAAGTAGAAATAGAACAATTTCATTAAAACGGACAATACAGTATATTCATACATATAGCAAAACAATTAAAATAAAAGCCACAACAAAATTGTATAAATTCTCAAAATATAAAATTCAATCAAATCAATAAGAGGTGAGAATAGAACACCACCTTAACAGATACAAGCAAAACAACAACCCATGAAAATACTTAGACACACCAAACTACTACCAAAGAAAGATGGATTATTTTACATGATTCAGAATTATTATTATTAGGCTAACAAAAGCTCGCCCTTGACAAACAGCAGTAGAAAGGTGATAATAGTTAGAAAGTTCCTTAATAAGTTGCACAAAATGTGTCACTATATAAGGTTGAGTGAATTTTTCTTATTTTGAGACTGTTGTATTTGTTGTGATACAATAGAAAAAAAATAAAGTGTCCCCCTTAATAGGGGCTTATTGACCATTTGACACCCAGAAAGTGTCGCCATCCCTTTAATAGGGGTGTCCCCTTAATAGGGGTTGACCGCAGTGTTAAAAGATATATCGCCCCTCGTTTCACGGAAAAGTGTCCCCTTAATAGGGGTGTCCCCAGAATTGGGGTGTCCCAAAGTAGGGGTTCTACTGTAATCTAAAAGTAAAAAAAAAAATAATACAAAATATAAACATTGAAATTTTGTTAGGTCTTATTATTATTTGCGTAAAGTCTACACAAAAAATCTATAAATAATTTGTGGGAATGTTATAAATACACTTTATCCTGTCTTTAGATTCTAATAATTTAACTTTGCATTTTATGTATATTAATTAGCAAGAAATACATTAAAACTTGTGTGAAAACCTAATTTAAAAACCTGTAAAATTTGAAATGGATTGACTATGTTGTTTGGCATTTTTTACTCATAAATTTAATATATTGATAAATATATATCAATAATAATAATAGTTACTTATATGAACAATAAAAATAATGGTAAAGGCTGTGTATAACAATAGTAATTAAGTAGTACTTAAATGTAATACTGTTTTTATTATTTCAATATATTATGAAAAATTCTTAGACCAAATACAAGAAAGAAGAAGCCATTTCATATGATAACAGCAAGGCCTTGGCATTTACAAACCATGCATTTGATTGCCAAGTAATTTACTGTGTACAGTATTCCAATTGCAAGGCCAAATGAAGCGAAAGTTTATCATCTAGGGGATTACATTTTTTTCTCTTTTTCCTTCTCAGATATGGCCACAGCACCAGACTCATAACCAGGAGGTTTTATGTTAGAACCGGAGTTCTAGAGGATACTTAAAGCGCCATGGTGTGTCCAGAAGAAAAGTTCTCGCGGGTGTCAGGGGGAGGGCTTTTGAAGCTGCAGAATTCTAGCATGTAAATGGTGAATTTCATCATCTCCTTGATGATTTTTTTTAATGCGAATTGAGAGTGGTTTATATTATCAGACAGTTTTCGCTCAAACGGAAAAAGGGGGTTCCAGCAATTCCTATGGTTGCCAGCCTGAACATTTAAATCTTTTCATTTTTTTCAGAAGTTGTGAACAATTACTACAGAAAGTGATTTGTATATCAACAAATGAGATTAACAAATGAAATCCTTGCAATAAATCTAACGGTAATTAAAATTAGATTAAAACATAAAAATAAATACTTCACTCTTGTTGAGCCTTTGTAATAAATTTCTGGTGGATGTTTTCAAAGCTGAAACTGTAAGATGAAATTTGGAAAGCTCTCAACAGTATGGGATTGATTGTTGTTCAAAGCAGAAACTTCAGAAAAAGATTGCGATTTTGTAACATTATGTATGTTAATATTCTTAAAGTAAGCTTGAAATAGACAATTGTTGAGATAAGTAAGATGGAGGGAGTGCAAATGTTTGCAAAGCATTCTTTAAGGATATAATGGTTTAACAGTAAAAAGGTGCAAGTGAATGTCTTACATATGTATTTGTATTTTAATAAAAAAAAGTTTTAAACACCAAAATGTATTGTATTGTAATGTAAACTGTGATGAAACTGCTCAGTTTTTTTCTATTGTAGCATTAAACCACACTGCTATTGAACAATCGACATTACAAAATATGAATCATGCAGATATCAATCAACTTTGTGGTTTTTGCAAGAATAATATAGTGACCACTACTATTGTATTTCATAAGTTGCCTACTACCATGTTTTTTGCAAAAGAGCATTCTAGAGAATAAAAAGGCATAAAATATTATAAATTGAAACATTCATAGATGTTATGAATACCGAAGTGATAGAGATAATTGTTGAGAAATGTTTCTAGATATCTCTTTACTTGATGCTTCCTTGTCAACAGACAAAGTGTAATTACATTTCTGCTATTTTATTTAGTAATCGAAGAATGGTTTTTAGTGTGTACTGGAGTACTTCAGGATGCACAGTATCGGATTTTGCTTTACAACAGCTATTACTGTATATAAATGCTATATCGATTACTTATTGGGTTCTGGAATAGAAAAGTCACATCGAATAATAGAGAACAAGGAGCAAGCCCATTAGCTGTCATATAGCATTGATGAGTTTGGCATCTTCACTTAATATCTTCGCTTTAAACATGAAGGACACATGTCTCCTGCAGTGGAACACAAGCTCAAATGAGCTTAGGTATTCTTGCTTCGTGTGGTTGGCGTCGCTTTCGTTTTAACGATCGCCACAAATCTCTTGAGTACTATTTAACAGACATGATTTAAGATTAAAAGAAAGCAGCCGACTTGATAATCTTGCTAACGTTGTGAGGAGATTCTCGGCGTCTCTTCCACACCTGTACATCTGATTACTGCAGGTCAATTAATTTGGTCTTTATAATAGCAGTTGAGTACTTTTGTGGCGGTTTTGATATACGGTCATGTGAAATTTTGTTGGTCTCACATTATAGACTGTATTACACCAGTACTGTTTACTTCCCCACGTCACAAAGGCGGAACATAACATACAGTATAGCCACCTGTTCATGATTGGATCTGATTTTCACTTCACAACTTACTCGCATTTTCACACTGTCATCTTCCGGATTGCGTCCTCGGGCGCGGAGATGCGGGATTACTATTTGTACTGTTATTGTTGTTTGCTTCGGACATCAGGAACATTTCGTAGGGTGGGGTTGATCGGTCCGCCCAAGGATGATTTGGAATACTGGCACTGTACGAATAAAACCGAAGTCCAGAATGGAAATCCATGTAACGTGACCGCCACATCATAATGACAACTAAGAAACAAGCAAGTCCCCCGATTGCATTGAGTGAACATTGAAATACTAGATAAGTTTTCAGATTTAGAAGAAAGTTCCGACAATCAGCGATGTTTTCAAACAAATACGTATGTTTAATCAAGTTGTCCTCGCGGCGTGTACATACACAATCACGATCAGCAATTTCTGTGTCCGTGTCAGTGTGGCAGACGTGAGGATAGTTTTGATGGAGAGAGTCGATAATATTTGCTTGTATTCCGCAGAAAGCACTAGCGATAGTATTAATAAAAACACAGCAGAAGGATAACCCAAAGCACACAGTCTGAAAAAAGAGACCAAAAAAAAACGTAGGAATTACAAAATATTCCTTTGCTATGAATAAATGAACAGTAAAAGGAAGGAAGAATAAGAAAAGGATTTAAAGTGGCTTAAAATTATTTTTCGAAACTATAAAATAATAATACATCAATGACAAATACTTATTGTGTTTCAAAAATTATAATTTTTTTATATAGCATAAGATCACAGCATTGACGCTTCTACATAGTCGATATAAAGTGTAAGTAATATTTCCTGTATATTGTTAATTACTTGACATTTTAAGTAGAGAGGCATTTTTTTACAATGTATCTCCCTACTGTACCTCACTTAAGACTACTGAATTATTAAGTCTCAGGTTTTTGATCATTCTTGTTATAAGCCATGTCTCATTCTTCAAAAGCCTCATTCATCATTAAGAACTGAATAGCCAGAGGGAATGTCAATGATGCATAATTCTTTATTTTTTTTCAAATTACAATAAATGACATGCGGAGGTCTTTCTAAAAAATTATAATTTTTTTTATTAAGCTGCAAAGAAGAACAGCAGTATTCTTTTATTCGGATTGGTTTACATTTTTATTATTTTCATGAGAACAAAACATATGCTATGGGAAAAGGGGTCTACAGAGCATGTAGAAAAATGATTAAATGACAACACTGATTGTTATATTTACTCTTCTAGGGAGAGGAAGGGGTCCATCAAAATGAAAATATGTTTTACCATATTGAAAAAAAATAGATGACACTCTTAATGTAAGGTTTTAACAAAGATGGTACATCTTTGCAAGTCAAGACTGCTGTTATTAGAAATATGGTACTGTATCCCTTATAATTAAATAAAAATATAATATTAATAAAATATTGTAGCTATACATTCAATAGTTCAACTAAACTACTGAATAGAACTGATAATGGGAAAGTCTTAGGTTTGAATCCTCTAATGCAGACAATACACTTTCTTCAAAATATTATTCATCATTATTGCATCTATATGAAATTATATCTTAATACTTTTAGAATACAATACTCAATAATTTTATTGCAAAGATTACATAAAATGAGCTTTAGGGATATAGAAACGAGAGGTTTCTATGGTAACTAGTGACATACACTATCAATGATGAATTACCAATTAGAAATACATTTTAAGCAGTAGATTTCTGTCATTGAGAGTCGTCACATTGTCTATTTACCGTTACACTGGAGCTTATAATTTACCCAGAATAAAGGATACTGTACGTCAAGCCTATCATTTCATTTTTAGAGATTATTTCTAGTTTATATCATTTGACACTCTCTGTTTGGCCACCAGTGTGATCTAGTTGATATATATCACTGAATCTGATCTACACAGGCAATATATTTGGTAAGGAGAGCAGGGGCAGTTTCCAAAAGAGGGGTGAGGAGAATTAGAGGCAACACTACACTAGGAGGTGCGGTGGGAATTCTTGTTTTGTAGATCCCCGGAAACAACCTCTGAGATCTTTTCGGTGATTAATAATTTCTTTTCTTTCCCTTTTTTCTTTCAACTTAAACAAAAGGGGGGGGGAGGGTGGTCTGATCCTCCCCCCTTTTGTTAAGTTGAAAGAAAAAAAATACCTTAATAAAAAATGCCCTAGGACTTCCAAAGTACACTTGATTCTGAATAGCGCTATAGTACAGTCCAATAGTACCAGCAATCATCAACTGAAAAATAAAAAATGTTCACAATATCAATATACCACTTTATACAGGCCAGTAGCCAGGGGGTGTTTTTATGGCCAGGAAGTACCCTCCTTTTTTAGCAAACCCCCCTCTTTTCTGGCGAACACCCCCTTCAAATTTCCTGAACAAGTCCTCCAACCCAACTAATGCACGGCAGAGCCACCCAGCCACCCAGACTGTTGTTCCCAAACATATCTGCTTTTATAGCATTATTTAGACCCCATAAAGCACAAAAATCCTCTGGCTTTGGTGGTTTCGCCGACACCTACCATGGCTTTGACCCTGGACCTCATGTCCAGAGAACACACCCCCCCCCCTTGAAGAACCTAGCCACAGCCCTGTTATATACACAAAAACATTTCACTTCATACGCTCATTTGAGAAGTGGTGATTTTGTTCAGTGTATTATCAATTAATCAAGCAATTAATCACTCAATGAAATTCAAAATTATTTAAAACTTACTAGGAATTGGTCTATAGTACATTAAGACTGTCTCTTATACACATCTAGATGTGTATAAGAGACAGAAACATATGCTATGGGAAAAGGGGTCTACAGAGCATGTAGAAAAATGATTAAATGACAACACTGATTGTTATATTTACTCTTCTAGGGAGAGGAAGGGGTCCATCAAAATGAAAATATGTTTTACCATATTGAAAAAAAATAGATGACACTCTTAATGTAAGGTTTTAACAAAGATGGTACATCTTTGCAAGTCAAGGCAATGACATGAGAGAATAGGGGATATGTGAAAGCATTTTAATAGGTTGGAATACTGATTTAAACATGAAGGTATTATGAAGGTATATACACAGCAAAAAATGTTAAATCATAAATATCTTAATATTTTAATTAATTTTGATGAATAAAATATTTAGCATTTGAAGTTTCCTCATGATGTCTGCTTTGTCAGTGTAACTATTATTCAACCTTAAAAAAAGTCATAGTTGTTTTACAGCGTGTGTCATTTATTCATCAATACATATTAAAGTATGTAATTGATATGCCATGGATCAGCAAACATAGAGGCATTCACAATGCACTACATCAACAATCTATTCAGCTGAGCCCACCAAGGTGTCAAACATCATCTGCACCTACAGAGAAAAGGCGACTCTAGCCCCAGCCTTATAGCAAGATGCCGTGGGCTTAGATTTACCCTAGCAGCTCTATAAACCAGATGTGGATATCTCTAGGCTTAGATTCTCCTGAAAACTTGTAGGAGGTAATAATGTGTGTCGAATATTGTCCATAATGGGCAGAGCTGGGCTACTGCAATTGATTCCTCATCGTTGCTACAGCATAATAATAAGCATGACTTCCTTGGTGCTAATTTGATGCATTTGTAACATTAAATTAACATAATGAATACTGTATAAACTACAATTGACTGAAGATTAAATGAACAATATGAAAAATGTACATAACTACTCTAAATACCATATCAGCCTCTGAGTCTCTTACTGCACACTATATTTAAATTAACAAGTATTTCTTTTTTATTTCATTCTTTACATTTCATATAAAAATATAAATTCAATATGCATGTCACAATCAGAAGAATAGTAATTATACCACACATTAACTTGAAGATCAGAGGTGTACATGATTTCACAACCAACTATACAACAGTCATTCAATATACATAGGATGACCATACAGTTTCGCCTTTCAATTCAAGACCACGTTTGGGACCTGAAAATATGGGATGGTCACGAATTTGGTCTCCACTTAGGATTAGATTTGTGTTAAAAGATTGAAGATTGTTATTTAACTCTTTGAAAAGTGGTCTGGAATTAGAGTGGTCTCAAATTATTGGATGCACTGTCAGGGGCGGATTTAGGGGGAAGCTTGGCCGGCCCCGGCCCCCTCCCCCTTTGGAAAGCAACAAAAAAAAAAGAAAAGAAAAGAAAAGAAAAATAGAAAAAACTGCTATTGTCGGGCATCTAGAACACCAACATTTCGCGGGGGAATTTCCCCGGACCCCTAGGGTAGTGTTCTCTCAACCGGCCCAACATTCAGGGGCCCAGGGCCCCCTTTCAGATATCTCTGGATCCACTCCAGCCTGTACATGATGACTTTTCATGTTTTTATTACGTTTTTAATTAGAAATGATTATGATTTTGAAATTTGATACATCAGTTATAAACTGTAAAAGCACTCGGACGTATTGACCGCTTGAGTTTTAGTTGCTCGGTAAAGAAGAGGTAACAAATGGTACCGTAATGTAGTGACAGCGTACTTTAGGGAAACTTAATCACTAAATAACTAAGTCAGAACTGTAATTACAAACACTGTTCTGTAGTTACAAACCCTCAGAATTTCGTTCATACCTTTGGTACGCTAATTTCCTTATCAATCAATCAATCAATCAATCATCAAACTCATAATTAAACAATAATGAGCCTGTCAACACACGTCACTAGTAACTTGTACTTGACCAATCAAAATAAACACAGCTAACAGCTCCAACCATCCTGGCTGGATCGCAATATAAACAAAGTCGCTACGTATTATGCGTCTTAGATCTTACGCTAGATGTCCTAATTATGTCATGAGGCATTTCTGATACGCTTCTATACTCCATTATTGTCAACATCCATTAATTAAGGGTGGTAATTCGTTTTCATTACAGACTTTATCGTCAGCTTTCCCTCAATAATATATTACTTTAATTTTATCAATGACGTACTCAATACTAATATCGCTTATAAACAGAGGCAGCGCAAATGCGGGTGTGGGGAAAATTTGGAAAAGCATGGATAACCAGACCCCTCCCCCCACCTTGTCTGATACCACAGCGAGGTCGTACACCTAAAAATATTAATTTGCTGATCCAAACAAAGTTTATTGTGATTTCCAATCCCCATTATTGTGGTTTAAAGTCACAATCACAAATTTTACTTTAAAAAAATTTTTTATTTCCTTTATTTTACAAAATGTACGAAAATCTGGCAAAAATTACATTCCTCTCTGGATCGTTTGCAGGTTGGGGATACATATGGTATGAATCATGTCTAGTGCTTCTTTTATTTGCTTTCAATGTGTCTACTTGGTCAAAGTGAGAAAGTAGTAGCTGTTCCCCATTGACCATCTTGAATTTGCCATCTCGGAGTAAAAAAAAATTTTAAAATACCCTCATTCTCTTTTTTTCAAAATATTAGGACAAGAAACTACTTTGTTTTTTTTTTACTTGGCCTTATAGATTTGGGTATCTTTAACTTTAAGCCTGATATTACGACGTTAGTTATTACACAGCTCATTATCTATGGTGTGATTCCTTAGTCGCCCTGGTAAAAGCTTTATTTTCTTATAATGCCAAATAAATTTATTGAATGGTAAACCTACAGTGATAGATTACAGTGTGTAGAGTTGAGGTATTTGACTTATTACATTTAGGACATTAGTCTGAAATTGACTGATTGAATATAGGAATAATTTGAAGGGATTACTTGATTGATAATCACTAAAATAATTTGACTGATTGATTTATACCATTATCAAGTTACCTATTGGTATATGTTTGATAAATCAAAAGTTATATTAAGAATGCCATAGCAAGGAGGTCAGAGCAAGATATCAGAAACCTTTTGATAAAGTTATGCTAAAGGCTGCATATTCAATGAACCAAAGGATACCTTAATTGTTTACTAATATAGATGTTATGCTTTTGCCGATGTTGTTAAAGTTTGTAACTGTACAGTATACCAGTTGAAATTACTTTTCTATATATATATATTTCTCTCTCTCTCTCTCTCTCTCTCTCTCATATATCTGTCTCTTTATATAAATGAATGGACCATACAAAGTATTATGACTTATGTCTATCCTTTGTATAATTTCATCACTTTTAATTTTTTTAAAACTTTTTTAGTACTGTAATAATTAATTAGAACACTAGTTAATTATGAAAACGTTACTGTATCAAAAAAAAAAAATAATTGATACTAAAACATAATAATTATTATTTTAAAGATATAATATCAATATCCATAATAAGCTGTTAGATTTTACTGAGGCGATGCATTTCTAGTATGCTACATACTATACTGTATTAACTGGAGTGCGAGATGACATTTTAAAGACGAAATAAATTGGAATTAAATAGACTAACAAGACTTTTCACATATGATATATTAAGTAATTAATATAGATTGTGTGCATTTTTTTTCATCATGTATTAACCAAGTCTACATCGAAGGTCATCTAACTGTGTGACCTTTACCTACTTAAATGTCAAGAAAAAGTAGAATCACTGAATTAAGTCTTGCCATGACAAACTCTGATGCTATTTTCATTACTCTGTAAGGAGATAGATGCTGTCAATTACTATAGTAAATGTAACTATTGTATGTATTACCTTGATGTGTTTTCTGTGTACTTAACATCTCCTATAGTGAGTCTATGTCAGCATACTTAATAGGAAAGATGTTTTGCCCAACTTGACATTTTGTTACACTGAACACTAGTGCTTCCTATATATTTGTAGTAACGCTTGAGCTTTGTATAATACTAACATCGCCATCATCATCATCATTATCATTACTTACTGTATTGGGATATTAACATTCATATAATATACACAGTGGCATAATCAGGGAGGTTTTCACAGTGCCCAGGGACTCCCATTTTTGTTAAAACGTTAAAAAAAATAATATTAGTAAATTAATAGAAATAAATGTAGAAATAAGTTACGTTTACAACCAGTATATGGTGTAGTCACAGCCACTAATTCTTCACCCCTAGTTTTTCACCCGTAAAGTTATCGGATGTAATATTTCTATTCAGCAACCCCCTTTTCAAAATCCTGGATACACCACTCATACAGTAACTCTGTACACATTATTAGACTCACTCACTCACTCCGCCCCGACGGCCGTATGACGCTGTGAGGGCCCCAATTGACCACCCAATGTAGACCTTCATGAGTATTAATTCATCCCATTCATGATTTTTCTATATTTATTCACCCATCCAT